TCATGCTCTTTTCATCCTTGTTGACCTTGGCCTTAATTAATTTTTTCGTTTTTCAGACGTACATGGTGGAGATTGAGAATGCTCATAGGGCCGACACTCGGGCCAAAATTTTTCTGATGATGTTGGAGAAGTATCTGCGCCACCGCAACAAGTGCCTGAGATGCACGAGCGGCTGAGGGCGAATGCAGGTGATCGATCCCTTGGTGAGGAACTGGAGAAGAGGGATCAGGAGCTGATGCAGGCTATTCGCAGGAGTAGCGATCTTGAGGAGCAACTTCGTGTAAAAGACGAAGAACTTGAAGTGGGCAAAGGAGTTGCCGCAGAGTGTGAGCATCTTCAGGCGAGGGTGCAGTCGATGCAAGCCGAGTTGGATTAGAACGCCATCAGGGTCGAGGCGATGAGTGCGGAATGGATGAGAAATTTAACCGAGCTGGAGAGAAAGGTTTCCTGGTTGGAGGATATCGAGAGTGCTTGGGTGTCAGCTTCGGCGAGGGCGGCGGCTTTAGAGGACACTATGCGCGTCCTTCAATCCGAGCAGGAATCTGAAAGGGCGACGACGACGCTTAGGGAGGCGAGGCTCGAAGAGCGTATTGGTGACATCGACCGGGAAGCGTCGGCTTTGGGGGACCGTTCACTGCTCTTGAGGCCGAGAAGGCGTAATTGTTGGCCCAAGTCGAATCTGCCTCCGCCACTGTTCCCCGTCATCTGCACGAGCTCTGGGTACATGTCGAAGCTCAGCGGGACATATATAAGAGTTTGTGGGAAGCGGGCAATGTTTCTGAGGTTGCATATGAGGGAGCGCGGGCAAAGGCACGAGAGGCTCGTATTAACTGTGGATATGGTCCTGCGACGCCGGGGGCCGACGAGGATGCTGATGCTGAAGAGAGACTTCCTGGAGACGGTGATGAGGAGGACGACGGTGATAACGCCGAGTGTAAGAATTGTTTATCTTTGTTTGTGTTGTTCCTTCTTTTTTTTTGGTTTGTTGTCTTTGTGTTGTTCTTTTTTATTTCGGACTTGCCCAGCTTTTAGCCGTGTGTAATTTGTGGCTATTTGCGCAACTGGTTTAAATAAAAAGAAGTTTTCATCGGTGTATGTCTTTTGCACTTTTCTTCCTTTTTCTTTGCATAATTTTGGCGTGAAATTTCAGATTCCCATATGGTCGATTCCTTTTTTTCAGGGAATTTAATCTCAGCCGAATTGAGTAGGACTTTGTTGTGTGAGTCCGAATGGAGTCGTTGGTCTGCCTTCTTGGGCGAGGTCGACATGTGACTTATTGCTTTGAGCTGATCCGCTCTTGATTCAAAACGAGATTATATAACGTATTCGTTATTTTAGACGAAGCCAGTCATGACTTGGGTCGTCCGGATGGGAATAGATTATCGTTGGTTCGGGCGAAGTCGTTTTTCCTTCGGCGATGGCCATTGACCTTAAGGGTGTTGTTTCAAACATTTGTCAAAATGTTAACCCATCGCTGTTCGATCGAGGTCGAACTCTTCTCTTTGGCGATGGCCCTTGGCTTTAAGGGTGTTATTTCGAACTTTCATCGAAATGTTGACCCGTCGTTGTTCGATCGAGGTCAAACTCTTCTCTTTGGAGCTGGCTCTTGGCCTTAAGGGTGTTATTTCAAACTTTCGTCGAAATGTTAATCCGTCGTTGTTCGATCGAGGTCGAACTCTTCTCTTTGGCGATGGCCCTTGGCCTTAAGGGTGTTATTTCGTACTTCCGTCAAAATATTAACCCGTCGTTGTTCGATCGAGGTCGAACTCTACTCTTTGGTGGTGGCCCTTGGCCTTAAGGGTGTTATTTCGAACTTGTCGAAATGTTAACCCGTCGTTGTTAGATCAAGATCGAACTCTTCTCTTTGGTGGTAGTCCTTGGCCTTAAGGGTGTTGTTTTGAACTTGTCAAAATGTTAACCCGTCGTTGTTCTGTAGAGATCGAACTCTTCTCTTTGGTGTTGGCCCTTGGCCTTAAGGGTGTTATTTCGAACTTGTCGAAATGCTAACCCGTCGCTGTTCGATCGAGGTCGAACTCTTATTTTTGGTGATGGCCCTTGGCTTTAAGGGTGTTATTTCGAACTTTCGTCGAAATGTTGACCTGTCGTTGTTTGATCGAGATCGAACTCTTCTCTTTGGTGGTGGCCCTTGACCTTAAGGGTGTTATTTCGAACTAGTCAAAATGTTAACCCGTCGTTGTTCGATCGAGATCGAACTCTTCTCTTTAGTGGTGGCCCTTGGCCTTAAGGGTGTTATTTCGAACTTGTCAAAATGCTAACCCGTCGTTGTTCGATTGAGGTCGAACTCTTCTCTTTGGCGATGGCCCTTGGCTTTAAGGGTGTTATTTCGAACTTTCGTCGAAATGTTGACCCGTTGTTGTTCGATTGAGATCGAACTCTTCTCTTTGGTGGTGGCCCTTGGCCTTAAGGGTGTTATTTCGAACTTGTCAAAATGTTAACCCGTCGTTGTTCGATCGAGATCGAACTCTTCTCTTTGGTGGTGGCCCTTGGCCTTAAGGGTGTTATTTCGAACTTGTCGAAATGTTATCGTTGTTCGATCGAGGTCGAACTCTTCTCTTTGGCGATGGCCCTTGGCCTTAAGGGTGTTATTTCGAACCTGTCGAAATGTTAACCCGTCGTTAGTCCCAATTTCTTGGAGAGTTTTGGGTGTCCTCTGGGGGAGTCCTAGTTTTTTGCTCAACTTGTGTGTTTCCTGGGTGAGTCCCAGTTTGCTTAATTTGTGTGTATTGGAGAGTGTGATGTCGGAGAGTATTGAACGTTGCTATCCTGCTAATGTTTGCTTTATGCGTGTAATGGGATTTCCCCGTTTAACTCCCCCGTTGTTCGGCCTGGAGGGCTCGCTGATGGGCGGGGCGATAGACTGTCCTTTGAGCTTTGGCGATGCCCCCCTTGTTGCCTCGTTCAAAACCTCCCCGAGAGAACCCAATCGGGAAATCTGGGCGAGGGGAAGGAGTACGACTTTAGGGGACGTCGTTTTCCAGAGGTTGACGTGTCTGAGATGGGCGATATTCAAGTTATTTTGTAATAGTTCTTCTACTCTCTAGTTGGAATGCTTCTCTGCTCGCTCGCCCATGCGACGCTTGTGTTCCTGTTTAAGCGAACAATTTAGAAGGTAAAACAAGATGAGATTTCACTTACCTCGATCTGATGGGTCGATGAACGAGGGTAGCCTTATAGTGTTGTTCGCTCTTCCTGACGTTTAAGTGGTTGATGGAATGGTGGTTTGTGGATTCGGCAGCCGCGTTCGGGCTTTTTTTCTTCCTCTCTTTTTCTTTTGAACATGCCCTGGTTCTGCGTGGATTGGGTTTGCCTTAGCTCGTTCGTGGATCATCCGGTGCGTGGGTCACCCCATAAGATGCGCCCATCCTCTTGCGGGATTTGCGCAACTGGCGTCGTCTTCTTTTGCAAGCTTTGCGTGGACATTGGTTGTAACTTTTGCTTCTATGCAGCATCATGCTTTGGATTAGCACGTGAGGTTTACTTACCACTTTCTTCGGTGGATGATTATGGGTTTCGATCTGAAGGAGACTAGGAATTTTGACTAAGAAATCCCCACAGACGACGCCAAATTGTTTAACCAAAATATGTAAAAACCTTTTTTATTAAATCAATCAATGTTAATGAAGAGGTAAATCTTAGTCAAACATAATAAACTCCAGATCTAAAAATGAATCAGAAAGCGATGAATAAGACAAAATAAGGGCGATCAATCTTATTGATGTTTTTCATTTCTTCTTTCTTGATACAGTGGAGATGATCAATTTACATGATGTAGTGAGGATGATCAACTTGCATCCTTTCCTCTAAGAAAGCTCTAGAAGAGAGGTGAGAGAGGGGAAAACAAAAAAAGGGCCCCTCTACTCGGAGGATTCCTCATATATATATATATATATATATATATATATATATATATATAGCCTCGGAGTCCTCACTATGTTCTTTGATCGATGTGCCTTCATACTACGACCGTTTTCGTTCGAGTATTGTTTTCTAACTTATAATGTGCACTGTAGGCACTTGGATTGGAGCAAGTCGTGATGTCTCTTACTATCCCGCCACTTAACCGGGATCCAAATTAGATCGACCACCGTGGTCAGATTTTGACCAATACACAAAGTAATACGTGAATTGTAGATATTACATACTATATTTAAGAAAATTGCTTGAGGGAAGTTATTATGACGTTATTAATTATCCCTCCAAAATATCACTATTAAATGACACTATTATTATTATTTGCGGAATTGCATAAATTTTCTTTGACAATTATTTTTAAATATATTTAATCACAAAATTTGTTGTTTATAGTATTTTTATGGAGTTTCTTAAAATAAAGTGTTACGACATAATGATAGTAGGGTCGGGATATCCCTACTCCACGAATCGGACGTGAGTTCTCCTCTCATTTGATTCTCTGCAGCGAAATCTCCCACTCACTACTTTCCCCACTGGATTTATAGAATATCCCAGAGGCTCGCTCAGAAAGGTTGCTATATCATACATTTTGACTTAACTCTACTTTGATAGTTATTAGACTCATTACAATAGTCCGTCTGATTGTTCTTGCTGAAATCATTACTCTCAATGCTCTTGTGCTCTAACAATTGCGCTTCCTATTTAATTTATGAACTTAATTTATTAAAAACTAAATTTACTAAATGTTCCAAATTTCGCCCATTCTTTGTTATGAGTCGGCTTGGAGTAGATCATCTAAAATTCCCCAAAATTATAAATCCGTGAAAATAATTCGGGAAAAACTCTACAAAACGACACAAAGGTAAAAGATTTTTAAAGAAAAGAAAATGGAAAATGGGAAATAGGAAATAGGAGAGGAGAGTTAAAGTAAAGAGTCCAAAATAGGGATAACGTGGCATTCAACTAAGCATTAGTACAAGTTTAGATCATTCGCGTGCTTTCTTACTGCTATATAATTTCTCTCTGCTGTAGCTGTAGGGATACCCCACGCCCCGCCCCCCCCCCAACCTTTTACCCACCCCCTTCAAGTACAGTAATCTTCACCCCTTTCTCTTCAGCCAACTCCTATTTAGCAATATAAATCATTGAAGCTTTTTAACATAAACAAAAATATTTCCCTATAAAATCATCACTACCACCGCCCTCCTCCTCCGCCGTTAAAAGGCCATGAGATGGTGGGACTCAGTGTAGTACTCGAAGGTTATAGAGATATTAGTTGTACTGCTGCTGGTACTACTATAACTGCTTCTGCTTGGCAGATTGTTAACAAAGCTAGTATGGTTATGAAACCCACTTCTCCGACCACTCCTTCTTCTCCTTTTTCCCGGCGTAAATCTCCGGCGGCGTGTGGGTTTCTCGATTCCTGTTTCCTTTGTAAACAGAAACTCTTACCTGGAAAAGATATCTACATGTACAAGTAAGCTATACTCTGCTCAAATATATATATTCATCTAAATCTAAACTTTTATTATATTTAAAAGTTTAACTAAATATGCAAAATTAATGGGTCCAGTGATTTCTGCATTTAATATAGGGGAGAATGGGCATTTTGTAGCGTGGAATGCAGGTGCAAACAGATTTTTAAGGATGAAGAAGAGAGTTTTAATACAAAGAAAAGAGATAATATGAAATCTCAAGTATCTAAATCTTGTACTACTTCTTCTTCTTCTTCTTCAACGACGTCGTCTTCACGGAGTAGGAAAACGGCGGCGAGAAACCGACCGAATGGATTTGCATACTGAATGAGAGAAGTGTACTGTCCGAGGGAAATTTTGCTGCTTTCCAGTTTTGTCCTCGCCACATCTTGTAATGACTATGGTGTCCCTTTTTATTTTTTTTATTTCTTTGGGTTTGTTTTATTGGTTTTTTAATTTATTATAGTAATTGAAGTAGTAGTATGAAAATTGATAGCCAACAAACTGCTGCTAGTTTTCATATATCAGCCCATGGGTTTTGGTGTCCAATCGCCAGGTAACCAAATGGCATATAATTAATGATATTGAGAATCGTTCTTTTTTAAGGTTGGGGTGGTGGGGACAGTTAGGGATATTTTGGGTACTTAATGGAAAAAAAATTGGTAAATTATTCACATTATATGATACCGTAATTCGAATTTTAACTATAGGCACTTGTATTATCTTTTGATTTTTATTTTCACCACTTGACTTAACTTGTCTGTTAAGACTGAAAAAGTGTCAATGGAGTAGTAGTTAACTAAATAATCGAAGTTCTGAATATTTTGAGATTGTCATAGGATATGGTTAAGATATATTGGTATTAATGACAAAATATTGATAACTTTTCATTTACCCCCTTCCCAACTTTGCGTTAAAAATCAAACTTTCCTTAACTTTGAATAATAATCATTCTCCCCCTCTGTCATACACAATACCTTTTTTGTCATTGAATTTTCAATTTCCTTCTCAATTCAATACTTTTTATTATATGATATTTTTTTTTATTGTTTTAGCTATAACTTTATGTAATATCTATTATAAATTGTAATTAAAGTTAATTAAAGTTATAAGTAAAATAAGTAATTAGAGTCCATTAAAATTACCTTATCTTTATGATTGTTATTTTAATATAATGCATATTAAATATATAAAGCTATATTTTCTTAGCGATGGGCTAGAAATTCATATAAGAGGATTGAAAAATATCCCAATTTTTTTTATTATTTCAGATTGAACTTGTGAGCTAAGAAATTAATGAACTCTATTCTCTTAGCTCACAAATTTTAATTTCTTAGCTCACAAGTTCAATCCGAATTTTTCATATAAGAGGATTAGAAAACACCCCAAGTTATCTTAACTCACAAGTTCAATCCGAAATTAAAAAAAATGGGATGTTTTTCCATCCTCTTATATGAATTTCTAGCTTCGTTGCTAAGAAAATATATATTTAATATGCATTACATTAAAATAACAATCATAAAGATAAGGTAATTTAATTGACTCTGATTACTTATTCTACTTATAATTTTAATGAACTCTAATTACAATTTATAATAGATTTTACATAATTTAAGTTATAGCTAAAATCATAAAAAAAATATCATATAATAAAAAAGTATTGAATTGAAGAGGAAATTGAAAATTCAAGGGCAAAAAAGGTATCGTGTACGATAAAAGGGGGAGAATGATTAATATTCAAAATTGAGGGGAGAGTTTGATTTTTAACACAAAGTTGAGGAGGGTAAATGATTTTCACCTATTATACTGTAATCGGATCGTAATCTCTTGGTCACTAAATTATTTCTATTAATTGAAGCATAAAAGGTGACAATTTGGAGTTATTAAGTAATTAAGTAACCAAAGCTAAGATTATTTTGAGATCCTCTTAGGATATGGTTAATACTTAAATATAGATTCATTCATGGGCGCACGTGTGGAGGGCATGGAGCACTAGATAACAATGAGATGCTCATTCGTTGTTTACTTTGCTAGTTTTGATGCGAATTTTAGTAGTTGCAAGTGAGCTTAAGTTTTATATACTATTAATATACATTGTCAGGTTCCACAAAGAATACTTACATGCAAATCTCCATAAAAAAATGAGATTTTAAATCTCATCTATTTGTACAAAGAACATCTACATACAACCGAAGGCGGAGCTAGGATTCGAAGTTTGTGGGTTCTGAACTTGACACCGAATTCAAAGCATGTTTTAGTTATTGGGTACGCAATTATATATTAATACAAATTTAGTAAAAATTTTAATACAAATACAAGATCTACATAAAAGCTATTGAGTTTCGCCTAACCCGTAAAGAATACCCTACCTCCGCTCCTGCATACAACATATAACCTAATAGTGTAACAATTTTTTACATTAATGATATTCTCTATACAACTTAAACTTATTGTAAATTCCTTGAGTCGAAGGTGTATCAGAAATAGTTTTTTTTTTTTTATCTTTTTAAGATAGGGACAAGGTCTGCATACGTATTCATTTTTTTAGATTCCACATGTGAGATTACACTAGCTTTGTTGCTATTGTTGTTGTTAACTCATTTCTAATTCTTTTTAAACAGGTAAGGTGGTAATGGGCAGGAAAGACTTAGTGGGCGTTTGGACATAAAAATTGTAAAATTCAAAAAAAAAAAAAAATCAAGTAAAAATGATATTTGAAAATTAGAGTTGTGTTTGAACATGAATATAATTTCTGGTTGTTTTTGAATTTTTGTGAGTGATGAGTAAAAATTTTAAAAAACAGCTTTTGGAGTTTTTTAGATTTTCGAAAAATTTCAAAATTCATCTTCAAGTGAAAATAGAAAATTTTATGGTCAAACATTGATTTCGAAAAAAAATGAAAATTTTTCGAAAAAAAGTAAAAGAATTCTTATGCCCAAACGGGTATAAGAGGTTACTTACTGAGATTCGAATTTGTGACATTTCATTTGGAATTAGTTGTGATATATTGAAGATTAGAATGTCCAATTGGAATTGAAGATTATACTGGTATTTCGTTTTTTATTCCTTCGTTCAAAAGATGGATGTGCGGACCAGCAAGTAATTGATTATGATTGGTTATCTAAGGCAAATGGAAAGGGATAGTAGGAACAAAAGAACTCACTAATCTCTTCAATCTCGCAACTTTTTCTTATTTTAAAATTTACATTATTGGGTCATTTAAAATATACTAGTTTTATCGTACGCGCGTTGCGCGTGTACCTCGTTTCCATAAGTATAAATTTTGTAAAATAAATGCATAAATATAATATCAAAAATCGTATTTAAGTTATTATAAAATAAAAGTTAAAATTTTTATAAGTTCATCAAAATGATGGTTGTTGTTCTTATTTAGTTATTTAGCTAAGCCAAGGAAGAAACCGCATTTACAGATGCTTTTAATCATCTCAATCAGTTTGTTTGACTTAAAATTGATTCCAGTTTTATAATTTCAACTTTAATTTTACAAATTACAATACTTCCTTAGTTTCAACAAGAATGTTTCTTTTTTATTTTTTTTTATTTTTTTGGTACACAGATATTTTAAGTTTAATTGCAAAAAAGAAAAAAAAGTAAAAAAAGATCTACTAACTGACACAAGATGTCTGCTTTTTGCTGTCAAACAAAATAAAATTTACTCTATTCCTTATCAATGAATAAATCTCTATTGCAAAAGTAGAAATTGCTAAATTTTGGTTAATTTAATTTTTTTATTTTTATTTTTGTGAGATCTTTCATTCTCTGTCCAAGGACATAATTATACATCCAAATATTGTCTTTTTATAAAAGGGAGAAATTATGATTGAAAACATATTTAAAATTTAATACAATTCAAGCATATGAGTGAAAATTTAGGATTCATGGATGTGAATATCAGATTTAGAATTTTTTTTAATCAATTATAACGAATATAGTATTTTATTTTTTGCAAATATTTTTTTATTCATAAAGTTATATCTTTAAAAATAGTATTAATTTTGAACTCACTTTTGGAAAAAGGTTGGTGTAATTATTATAAATAGATTTCAACCGTAAAATTACTTTAGCATCATCATAGAGATGTAAATAATCTCACAAGGAAATCGTTATTCAATTTAAAGTTTAAACCGATATTTTATACCTAAATTAAAGAACTATTTAACGTTAAGTCTGGTGTTTACGGATTAAAGGAAAGTATTTTAATTAATATTACATATTATCCTAAATATTAGGAGTTTGTACATAGTTCAAATAAGAAAATATTTAGATAATCTGAATTCTAATTGATTTCAAATTATTCCTAAATAGTAGTAGTAAATTAAGTAAATTATAAGTTTACAATTTTGTCCAATCTATAAGCTATTTTAAAGGGCAAAAAAGGCGAACGACATTTCGCTAAGAGCCTTCGTGCTTTTAATATAGTATAGAAGATTAGACCGCCCGAAAGTAATTATATTTATAGGATTCCTAAAGGTAATCATGTAGGATTCCTAACGTATTGCATTATGTCCTAAAACTAATAGGATTATAAGGCTAATATCTAGAATTTCGGTTATGTCATTTAATTATGAGTTATTATGCTTAATATTATAAGGTTATTTTTATAAATTAACATTGTATTCATACATTTATAATAACTAGTTTCTATGAACGTGCTTTGCACGTTATTCTTAGACAATCATCACAAACAACGATATTATGTAATATTATTTTTAATTTCATTAAATTTATTTTATGAGGTACAAAAATGTTATTAGATCACATCCACTTAATACCTCTTTAAACATGATGTCTTGTATATTTCTTTATTCTTCTTACCTATTTGGAAAAATATGTCATGACAAATAATTTAACAGTAGGGTTGACCGATCATATAATTTATTGATTGTCATTATAAATATAAACATATTGAAAATATTTACTAAATATATATAATTTTAAAACTACCAGTCATTTTTTGGCTTGAAAAGTCAAGTTTTGATGAGAAAAGCATGTGTGATAACTTATTGGTCCATCAAGTTCCACGTAAATTATAAAGGAAAAGAATTATACTCATCAAAGATGAGATCTCATAATCTTTCGATCTCATTATAAATAATTATATAACAACGATCTAGTTGCTCGTACTATTCCTCTCATCTTCTCTTAGTTAGGTACTAAGAACACAACTTTATATTTTAAGGTTTTTAAGTGTATCTCTATCTTATTATAATGGTAGCAACTGAGGATTTTTTTTTTTAATTTAGTTTCTTTTATATGAGTGATTCACATAATTAAAAAGCAAGCATAATTATATTGAGATATTGACCAACTCTTTAACCCTTTAAAAAATATTTTAATTTGGATGAAATGATGATTAACTGATACTTAGGATTTCAAGTAAACTAACCTTTTTTATAATTAATGAATCCAAATCCCATACAAACTGGGAAAGAATAACTGGACGAAGTATTTTGTCAACCAAGAAGAAGGCTATTGTGCGAAGTATTTGTTCCAAGAAAAAGTAGGCAAAAAACCCTGGATAAAGAGAAAGATTTTTTACTTTTTTTTTTTTTTTGGTATTTTCTTTTGGTTTGTATATTGTATTGTGTAAAATATCAGAGAGGAGGGTAAAATATTGTATTGTTGGTGCGGGAGGATGAATCCAAAATCAATTTGGATAGGAGTATTTTGCCTTCGCACTTTTTCCTTTTTGCTCGGTAGGTGCAATTTAAATCGGAAAAGAATTCCAGCGTTAGGTAAATTACAATTATATCCTTAAATTAAACATATATTTAAGGTTATAAAAGTTAATCAATGTTCCGGGGATATTTTAATCGTTCGACATTTAGCCTAAATTATTCGTACTTTTATAATAATATAGATGTATGCATGTAATTCTTCGTAAGAACTGAGATTTGAAATCTTAAAAATAAGATAATTACTTTATATGATCTGATAATATATATATTTTATATTATCGGTGATTATTAGTTAAATTCTTTTTTATTTTTACCTTCATTCTCAACTTATTGGGTATCTACTTTTGCTTTTCTTTTTATTCCCACGAAAGATCATATCGTTATTAGTTGTTTAATTTATATGAAAAGACCATTTTCCTTTTTAAAGGATGAAGATATCTTTTATTTCCCGTTAGAGCGTGGTATAAAATGCAATTCCCTCCCACTCCATTACAGCTTGTTTGGATGGTTGTTATATATCGTTTCATACTGTATCTTTTGATGAATACACTATTTTGATAGATTGGATGAAAATATCTTTTATTTTCCGTTAGAGTGTGAGATTCCTATTAAAATTGTTGTTTGAAACAAAGCAAACTCGTCTTCCAATATAAAGTAAGAAGTTTTTCACCTTTCCTTTCCCTCTCTACTCACAAGCATATTAACAATCAAATAGCAACGATAACAATTATGTCTTAATCCGGATAAAAGAAAAAGACAAAAGAAGAGAATTACGATAGACTGATAAACTAACAATCAACGTAAAACCAATCAATTGATAATGGATTTCGACTGATAGTCTCATAGAAAAAGATATAACCAATCTCATTTATTCTTTGAATATTACTTCCTTTAATTAATTTTTATGATACAATTACTATTCGAAGAATCAAATAACCTTTTACTACAAGTTTATGTTTATGATGAAACTAATAATGACTTATATATTCATACTTCCAAACGCTCATTACATACTTTTTACATATCTCTTTTTTTTTTTTTTTTTTTTTTTTTTTTTTTTTTTATGGTAACAAATGTGAATTTTATTATCATTCCATCCCCCATTTCAAATACACGAGATTTTCTGGCAAGCCAGATCAATACATATACACATTTCTACTTCTCCCCATCTGCACTCACTTTCTAGCCTATGTATGAACTTGCTCACTTTCCTACATCTTTTTTTCACTCCGTATCATGCTTATCCTTTCTCTAATTATATTTTGTATTTGTTTAATTACATGTCTATCCTGTACTTGTGTCTCTCTAAATTTCTTCCAATTCCTCGCTTGCCAGATGTTGTATACTCCTGCTGCATAAATTGTTGCTCCCATATGCTTCTGTGTTTTTGTCCATTTCCTGTTATGTATCCACTTCAGAGTTTGATGGTTACTCCTCTGTTGAAATTTGATCCCACTCCAATCTGTTATAGCTTTCCATACCTGCACAGCCCAGTCACATTTGGTAAATAAATGTTCTGCAGTTTCCATTTCATCTCCACCACATAAGCTGCATCCACTATCCCCATATTGTATGCCCATATTCAGCATCCTTTCTTGTGTTAGTAGCCTATTTTGCACAGTTAACCATAAGATAAACCTGTGCTTTGGTAAGCATATGTTATTCCATATCAGGTCAGCATGTTCCATTCTTTGTGTCACTCCTATTAACTGTGTATACCCCTTCATTATGGAGTATTTCCCAGTCTTCACCAAGGTATATTTTCCATTGCTATACCAACTCATAATTCCAAGTTCCAGCTTGTTCAACCTTCTCCAGTACCAACTACTATTTACCTGTGGTTCATGCTCCAGAAGTCCCCATCTTTCATATATATTCCATTTATCCATTTCACCCATAGTGTATCTTTCTTCTCCATTATTTGCCATATCAATTTCCCCACAGCTGCCTTATTCCAATTCCTGCACCCTTTGATGTTCAGCCCCCTTGTGATTTTGGCTTGCAAATTTTCTCCCAAGCAAGAAGCAACTAAGGTTATCTTCTTCTTTTGTTCTGAACTTCCCCATAGGAATTCCCTACATTTCCTATCAACTTCATTGATTACATTCTGAGGTAGAATGAACATTGCCCCCCCAGAAATTATGTACTGAAAACAGAACAGCATTTATTATCTGCAATTTTCCAGCATATGACAAATGTCTCACAGCAGCATTTCTAATTCTTTTTGTGATCTTCATAATCAGTTGATGACATTCCATTTTGCTCCATTTTTTGGGTGATAGAGGAATACCTAGATATCTTATAGGAAAGCTTCCTCTTGTGAACCCTGTTTGATCTACCAAACTAGCTTCAGTATCCTCATCCACCCCTGCTATGAATATGTTTGACTTGTCCATATTTGCCTTCATCCCAGTTGCATTGGAGAAGATCTTCAAAGCTTCCATTACCCTTCCCACTGATTCCTTGTTAGCCTCGCAAAATATCATTAAGTCATTAGCAAAAGTCAAATGTGTGAGCTGCAGCTTCTTACACATTGGGTGAAAACTGAAATCTGGCAATTGGCTCATTCTCTGTAGTATTCTTGTTAAGTATTCCATCACCATCACAAATAGGAGTGGTGACATTGGATCCCCTTGACGTAATCCCCTTTGTCCTTCAAAATACCCATGCCCTGCACCATTGACCCTTACTGAGAATGTGGTTGTAGTTACACATGTCATCACCAGGTGTATGAACTTATTTGGGAACCCATATCCTTCTAACATTTCTGCCAAAAAATCCCATCCGATCATGTCATATGCTTTCCTCAAGTCTATCTTCATTAAGCATCTAGGTGTTGTCATCTTCCTATTATAGTGCCTCATTAAGTCATGACATATGAGGACATTTTGAACCAATGATCTTTCCTGTACAAATGATGCTTGAGCTTCATTGACAATTTGTGGTAGCATCGCCTTCAGTCTTTTACATATCATTTTTGAGATGCCTTTATATATGACATTGCAGCATGATATTGGTCGGAACTGAGCAGCATTCAAAGGATTGGTAATTTTTGGAATCAATGTTATCATTGTAGCATTGATCTACTTCAGTATTTTCCCATTATTCATATAAGCCAGGATTGCTTCTGAACATCATCCCCTATAATGTCCCAGGTTTCTCTGAAGAATCCACTTCCATACCCATCCGGCCTAGGACTTTTATTCACATTGATACCCCAGATAGCTTCTTTTACATCTTTACTTGTATATGGTTCCAATAAGTCAATTTGCTTCTGCATCTATTCTATACCCATTCTTCAAAAACCACTGGTCTGCACATCCATTTCTACTACCCTTCCTCCCCAGTAACTCCTTATAGTATTCAACAAATACAGCAGCTATCCTCTCAGGTTCCTGTTGCATCTGATTGTTTTGATCCTGTATCTGTGTGATGACTTGTTCCAGCTTCCTTTGTTTCATAATTGAGAAAAAATACTTGGTATTATCATCTCCTGCTCTCAACCAATTAGCTTTACTTATTTGTTGCATCATCATTTCTGCTTTATAATTTGAAGTTCTGAACTTCTCACCCATTGTCTTCTCTTCCTCTTGTAATGCTGCATTCATTGGATCCTGTTGTAGTGCTTCCTGGCATCTCTTCAGATTATTTCTGTCATTTGTTGCCTCCTCAATGATATTGCTAAAATTATTCCTGTGTAATGCTTTCAGCTCCTTTTTCAACATTTTTAGTTTCTTCACTACTTGAAACATTTTGTGCCCCTCAATATTCAGACTCCAAATCTTCTCCACCAAGCCCCTAAAATTTGGATGTGTACTCCACATATTACAGTATCTGAAATTCATCCCCACATGATCCCTTTTTTCTATTTCTGTGATCTGAATTGGAGTGTGATCACTCACTCCTTCTGTCAAGATCTTTGCTCTACACTCGATCATGTGTTCCAGCCATTCTTCATTTACAAATACCCAATCTATCTTTGAGAATATTCTCCCACCCTCATGTTTATCATTCCAAGTATACCTACACCCATTATTTGGCAACTCTGTTAGCCCAGCCCTATCTATACATTCTTGAAACTCCTTCACCTCATTTATTATCACTTTATTACCCCCTATTCTATCTTCCATGTGTAAAACAGAATTGAAATCCCCCATTATTAGCCATGGCTTATTCCCACTCCCCATACTTATATACTCCGATAACTCCCTCCCCTCCTCCCTTGAATTATGTGCATATACAAATGTGGCATTGAAATCCATTTGTATAGGTACATATAGCACTTCACAAGTAACAGCCCGTGCACTTTCATATACTACTCGCAGCTTGTAGTATTCAGGTCTCCATACTACTAGGATTCTCCCATTATAGTGAGCATTATAATTTGAAAAATGCTCCCATCCCCCCCAAACATTTTACTAACTATTCCTTCAATCTTATTATGTTTTATTCTAGTCTCCATCATTCCTACTAACCCCACCTTCAGCTCATTACAGAGGGACTTTACTTCCCTCTGTTTTACAGGGCCATTAAGGCCCCTCACATTCCAACTGAGGATATTAACCATCCCTCATAGTGAGAGATGATTGGCTACCCAAATTTACTTGAGCTCCTCTTTCCTTTTCAACCCCCTCTAATGCTTTGAAAGTATTTGCTATTGTTACCACATCTTTGATTACAATAGGGATACTAGCATGCTTTTGTGGTTGGTTCCATCCTTCACCTTGCTTCTGCCCATTACCCACCTCTCTTCTTTTATTATCTACCCTTGTCATTCTGTCTTCTTCCTTCTATTTGCTTTGGTACCTCCTTTTGTTCCACAGGATTCCTTTTGCTTGGACTCCATTCCCCCTTGCTTAGATGTTCAGTTTCCCCCCTTACTTGTTTCACTTCTTTTTCCTTAGTTCTCCTACAATTCTCCCCTGTATGTCCATATTTTTGGCATTCTTCACAAACAGAAGGTTTCCAATCATATGTGATCCTCTGTTCTATGATAATACCTTTTTCATTCTTAAAAAATATTGATTCCGGAAATTGCTCTCCAATTTTTACCTCCACTAAAAGTCTTGCAAAATTTAGCCCCACTTTCTTTTCAGTGTTCTTATCCACCATTAATGGTTTCCCTACTAGACTTCCAATCTTGCTCAAACCCTTCGCACTCCCGTATTTGAATTCTAGTCCGGGCAACCTAATCCATATTGGAACAGTACATAGTTCATCCTTTGAGAAATCCATATCCACATTCCAAGCTTCCACAATTAGAGGTTTGTTATCGAAATGAAAAACCCCCTCCTGTATTACTTCATTCTTCCCCGCTTCAGTATCAAATCGAACCATTACTATTCCATTCTTCAGCATAGCTATCTTATCTATTCCACGCTTTCCCCAAATTCGTTGTAAGAAGCTATTCAGGACATTAAATGGTGGATATGCCCCTAATACGTAGCATACAACAACATTCTTCCAGTATTCGACCTCTGATTCAATGTCCTCTGCAACAATTTCCCCAATCTGTTTGTCTCCTTCTATTTCTGGACTCACATACTCAAGATTAAACCAGCGTTAGTGATTTTTCCAATATCAAAATTATCCCAAACTGATGCCGGCAGTTGTTTTTGATTCTTCGCCTGCATCTCTATTTCATCTGCCCATGACAATTTCCTGCTATTTCCAGATTTTTGTATAGATTTCTCCCATTCAATTTGTTGTTCATTCATAATACGCATCTCGCACCTTGTAGTTGAGCTTGATTCCCCTAGTAATCCTCCGTTTGTGCCCTACACCCTTCACCAATGATTTCTGAAATCGCCCTTGTTCCCCCCCCCCCCCCCCCCC